AATAAACATGCTGAACAGGAACGAGGAGTTCCAAGGTTAGTTATTAATTATAAGCCCCTTAATAAGGCTTTAAAATTGATTAGATATCCAATCCCTAATAAAAAGGATTTATTGGATAGATTGCATGATGCCATAATATTTTCAAATTTTGATTTAAAATATGGTTATTGGCAAATTCAGATATCTGAGTTTGATAGATATAAAACTGCTTTTAATGTCCCAATGGGTCAATATGAGTGGAATGTCATGCCTTTTGATTTGAAAAATGCCCCTTCTGAATTTCAGAAAATAATGAATGATATTTTCATACCTTATACTAATTTTATAATTGTCTATATAGATGATAATAATATTGCGAACGGCCCGATCCCATAAAAATATGATATTGCCGAGGCGAACGACCCGATCCCATAAGAATATGATACTGCTGATGGTAGTCTATAATCTCGTATTTTAGTCACTTATTGCACTCTAATTTACTGCACTTTAATTGAGTTGAGCTTTAATCGCTAGTGTTTTGCACTAATTGTGTGTTTTATGCCTTGTATGAGTGATTTCGATCTATGTAGATGTTATGAAATAAATTCAAGCTATTCTAGAGCTTTGAAGTCTGAGTAAAAACCCAAGGGTTAAGTTGGGATCATGTTCGGGGATCAATGGATGATAGTGCACTTTAAGAACGAAACAAAAATTCCGTAGGCATACTATGCATTGTCCAGTAAAATGCACATAACTTTTAACTCATAAATATGTTTGGGCTCCACAATATATCGTTGGAAATCTATTTAAAAGGGATACAACTCACATGTTTTACATTTTCCCAAATTCCCAACTGCCGCATCGCATGGTGCGGCGCGACTGTGTAAAATCTGCCCAGAATCCATTTTGTAAATTGTTCTGGATATTGCCACTAGCGCATCGCATGGTGCGGCGCGGTATACGGCGCGGTAGTGCAAAATTCTTAGAGTATGTTCCCAATTCCGCTAAAAAGGGTATTTTCGTCCGGGTTTCATTTGGGGGATAGTTAAATACACGGAAAAAATACCATTTCTGCACTTTTGACATACCTTAGACCTAAGGAAGATAAGGAGAAGAGGGAGAAGCAAGAGCACAAGGATTCCATCCTTCCTTCTTCACTCAAGATCCGAGTTTGGATTGTATTTATATTTTCCTATTCTTTTATTTCATTTGTGAAGAACTTCTCCATGTCTATGGAGTAGAACCTTTTGGGTTTTGATGGATTTGGTGTATTGATAGTTGTTTGTGGATTATAACTCTATTTTTATGTATTTGAATCGTTTTTGGAAGATTTAATTGTTGCATCTATGTTCACTTATTCTTGTAATCGAAAGAGGCATAACTTGTGATATATTTGCACTATATTGTTGGTTGAGTTCATAGATTCTTCTAAGTAATCGAAAGAGGCTAGTTGAATTCTTGATTAAACCTAGTTAGGAGGATAATCAAAAGAGGTTCTCCTAAAGACCAATCCATTATGAATTCTTGCATATCTTCACCGAGCTTAAATTGGTTCATATTGTGAGGTTGAGACTTAATCGAGAGAGGTGTTTCTACTAAACAATTGTACTGATAATTAAGTGAATTCGAGAGACTCATTTGAACATTAGAAGTGAATTATCTAGAGTTAGATCTTGAACAATTATCTTGCACCTATCCTATCAACTCATATTTTCTCCCATTGATAACTTCCTTGCTTACCTTTGTTGCGATTGTCATCAGTCAATAGCTTAGATTCTTAGTTAATTTCAATTCTTAATTGTATAAATCTCAACTATTGATCTTCCTGAATAGCAATCAAGCTATAAACTATGATAATACTGTTTAAATCCAATCCTTGTGGACATGATATTATACTATACTATCTTTGACTAGCGATCACAAATTTAAGTGTGTGTTTTGCGCTCGTCAACTACCGAGGCGAACGACCCGGTCCCATAAGAGTGTGGTACATAATCCTGCCAAGGCGAATGGCTTGATCCCATAAGAGTGTGGTATATAATCCTACCAAGGCGAACGGCCGATCCCATAAGAATAAGAAGCTTTAATAGGTCCTTGACCCCACTCACGAATATACGTGTGAGTTATGAAATTTAAAGAAGCTTTTCGATGAAAACACATAACGCGAGAGAAATTCATAAGTGGAGCACAATTATTCCGCGGCTAATCAAGTAGCTCGTTAAATCTCTTACAATAGTGAGTCTATCACTCTATGCAAGCCTAGTCTAAAAGGAATTAAACAGGCAAGGATAACTCAAATAGTACAATTAAAGCATGGCGTAAACCTATGTCTACCCGGACAAATCAGGAAGCCTAGCATACGCACGGACACTCATCACCTCATACGTGCTTAGCTCCCACAACATGTAGCACATAAGAATATAACACCTACGGGGTAAATTCCCCCTCACAAGGTTAGATAGGAGACTTACCTCGCTCCGAAGTTCCATAACCGGCTCCAATGCCTCTCTAACACCTCGACTCAAAGCCAAACGATCCGAAACTAGTCAAATAATGTGCAAATCAATCAAAATATACTCATTGCTTATAATTAATCAATTTATAACAATTTCCAACTCCGCTTGAAAAGTCAATAAAGTCAACCCTCGGGCCCACATGCCCGGATTCTGAACGTTTTTGAAGATAAACTTTACCCATAACATCATGAACTCAATTATATAGTTTATTACAAATTCCATGTCCAATTTCGTGGTCAAAATCCAAAAATATGATTTCTAGATTTTTCTTCAAAAATCCCACAATTTCCACCAATTCCATGTTAAAATCTGTATATAATCCATGTAAAATAGTTAGAAATTGAACAAGATTACTTACTCAATGATTGTAGATGAAAATCCCTCTTCAAAATCGTCTCCTACCGAGCCTAAGTTTTCAAAAATGAGAGAATGTCTCCAAAATCCCGTCTCCCAGCCCTTTTACCAGGTGCATATGTCGCATTTGCGACACAGGGTTCGCATTTGCGGACAAGTGTTCGCAATTGCGAACCAAGGCAAAAATCTACACACTTCGTAATTGCGAACCAAGGCAAAAATCTACAATCTTCGTAATTGTGAACAAATGTTCGCAATTGCGATACCTGAAAACCATCAACACCAACAATCTTTTCCGATACGGAAATGGGCATAACATTCTCATACAACATCGAAATTCGATGATTCTTGTTGCTATGAATCCGTAATTATGATATGGATCTAATGGTTCAATGAAATCATAAATCAAAGGTCATTTTCTCAATATAGTATCCTTTATACCCAAGAAAACGGCATCGAAATATCAAATAAGAGCGCGCCACAACCCAAACACATCTGAAACACACCCAAGGCCCCCAGGACCCCGTCCAATTACACAAACCAGTCCCAAAATATAACACGAACCTGATCAAGGCCTCAAATCACACCAAACCACACCAAAACCATGAATCGACACGAAACCACATCAATTCCATGTTAAAATCTTTATATAATCCATGTAAAATAGTTAGAAATTGAACAAAATTACTTACTCAATGATTGTATATGAACATCCCTCTTCAAAATTGCCTCCTACCGAGCCTGGGTTTCCAAAAATGAGAGAATGTCTCCAAAATCCCGTCTCCCAACCCTTTTACCAGGTGCATATGTCGTATTTGCGACATAGGGTTCGCATTTGCGGACAAGTGTTCGCTATTGCGAACCAAGGCAAAAATCTACAGACTTCGCAATTGCGAACACAAATGTTCGCAATTGCGAACCAAGGCAAAAATCCACAATCTTTGCAATTGTGAACAAATGTTCGCAATTGCGATACCTGAAAACCATCAACACCAACAATCTTTTCCGATACGGAAATAGGCATAACACTCTCATACGACATCGAAATTCGATGATTCTTGTTGCTATGAATCTGTAATTACGATATGGATCTAATGGTTCAATAAAATCATAAATCAAAGGTCGTTTGATCAATATAGTACCCTTTATACCCAAGAAAACGGCTTCGAAATATTAAATAAGAGCGCGCCACAACCCAAACACATCTGAAACACACCCGAGGCCCCCGGGACCCTGTCTAATTATACAAACCAGTCCCAAAACATAACACGAACCTGATCGAGGCCTCTAATCACACCAAACCACACCAAAACCATGAATCGACGATCAAATCCTCCTTTTAACTTTCAAATATTCAAGCTTTAAAGTGTCCGAATTATACTTAAACATTCCGGAATGACGCTAAACTTTACGTACAAGTCATAAATCACGATACAAACCTATTCTAAGGACTAGAACCCAAAACGGACATCGACAACACCAAAGTCCACTTCAAACCAAACTTAAGAAATTCTAAAATCTTCGAATTGCCAACTTTCCACAAAGTGCTTAAATGCTCCCAGGCCACCCGATACTCAACACTAACATACACCCAAGTCTGAAATCATCATACAACCTATTAGAACCTTCAAATCCCTATTCCGAGGTCGTTTACTCAAAAGTCAAACTTTGGTTAACTCTTCCAACTTAAAGCTTCCGAATTGAGAATGTTTCATCCGAATCAACTCCGAACCTCCCAAAATTCAATTCCGACCACACGTATAAGTCATAAAACATAAAGTGAAGCTACTCAAGGTCTCAAACTGCCGAATGACCAGCTAGAGCTTAAAATGACCAATCGGGTCGTTACAACTAACACCTTTCTAGTAGCTTCCCGAATGCAGATCGTTGTCGTGGTCTGCATATTACTCTCATCCCCACTTCCAGGCCCCCATTGCCAGTAACCTCTCCCCCAACTCCTTAGATTTGTCACTATTCAAGGATCCTCACTTGATCTTAGGTTGACCATGCACCGCTCTCTTCTTCCTCTTCCTCTTCCCCTTGAACTCTACGTCCATAACCAAGAGCATGTGTTAGGTCAAGAGACTCTCGCTCGGGATAACCTTGCAATATGTGCATAGACCTCTATCACACTTCGTGAAGTGTAGGTAATCAATTTGAGTCTTCGCCATTGTGCTTTGAAGGTCTCAAGTCCTCCTCCTTCTTCTGAAAACTCGAGTTTGCTATCACCATATCAAAAGCTATACCAAAATCCAACAACCAAGTTCCTCCTTCGTTTCTATCCCCAAAACCAACGTCTTCATCCATATCATCATATCCTCTAGATGCCATCCTGATGTGGCCATTGAAATCCCCTCCTATCAGCATTTTCTTGATGTGCAGAATACCACGTACAACCTCATCCAAATCCTCCCAGAAGTGCCTCTTGACCTCCTTGTCCAAGCCCGTTTGAGGTGCGTAAGAACTAACAACATTAAAATTAAACCCTACAACAACTAGTTTAATAGCAATTATAGTGCCTTTCACCCTCCTAACATCTATCACTTGCTCCCTGAGATCTCTGTCAACTAAAATACCTACTCCGTTTTTGTTCCTCACGCCTCCTGAGTACCATAGTTAAACCCATCAACATCTCGTGCCTTAGATCCTACCCATCTAAGTCTCCTGGACACAAGCTATATTAATATTCTTCTTATGGAGAATCTTCACTAACTCTATAGATTTTTCCATCAAAGTCCCTATGTTCCAGGATCGTACCCTTAGTGTGATGACCCAAAATGTCATATTTAAATTTAATAATTAATTCTGTATTCTAAGACCTTGAAAAGCACTATTTATCATTCCTCGACTTGCGTTCACAGTCTGTATAATTTTCTGAAAAGTTTTTTTTATGTGAAAAATTGATTAAAATGTGAAATAGAGCCTTAAAACTCAATTGAGTTGACAACTGATCCTTAAAACTCAACCGATTCTGGAAATTGGAATAGCTTTGTTATGTCATTTATGACTTGTCTGTCGAATTTGGTGAGAAACGGAGATCATTTGACGTGATTCGGACGTTCGGTTGTGAAAATAGAAGTTTTAAAGTTTTCTTAAAAATTTCATTTGTTTTGATGTCCGATTCGTAGTTCTAGGCATTATTTTGGTGTTTTGTTCGCGCGAGCGAGTTTGTATGAGGTTTTTTGACTCGTGTGCATGTTTGGTTTAGAGTCATGAGGGCTCGAGTGAGTTTCGGATGGCCTACAGACCATTTGAACTTTGAAAAAAATCTGGTTTTTAGCTTCAGCTGTCATTTGGTGCATTGTGCTTCGCGATCGCAAAGCCATTCCCGCGATCACAAAGAGAAAATTGTGAGCCATGAGTTTTACCCTTCGCGTTCGCGAAGATAGGCACGCGATCGAAGAAGGTTAGCTCTCAGTGCACTGCGAACGCGAGGGACAAGCCGCGTTCGCGTAGAAGGAATGAAGGCAGAAGCTGGGCACGCCATTTATGATACGCGATCGCAAAAGTCTGTACACGATCGCAAAAGTCTGTAAGGAATCGCGTAAGGTTGAGAAAATGTTCTCCGCTATCGCATGACCATTTACGCAATTGCGTAGAGTTAAAATTCTGGGCAACCAAAACATGATTCGCGATCGCAAAGAATTATCCGCGATCGCGAAGAGTTAAATGGATAGGCAGAAATTGTTCTACGCGATCGCGAATGAATTCCCGCGATCGCAATGAGTAAAAATCTAGGCAAACAGAACTTAAGTTCTGGAAATGGGATTTCGCCCTATTTTCCACCATTTTCGATTTTGAGCTCGGGTAAGAAGCTTTTTGGGCGATTTTCATGGGAAAACATTAGGGTAAGTATTCCTTATCCTATATTGATTATATTTCATAATTTCATATTCATTTACATCATGAATCCGTGAATTTATGGAAAAAAAATCAGATTTTTATAAAATATTCCAAAAATGTAAAATGAAGATTTGAAAGCCAATCTGATGTCAGAATTTGATAATCTTTGTATGGTTGAACTCGTATCAGAACGGGTGTTCGGATTTTATGAGTTTTTCCGGGATTCAAGATGTGGGCCCCACTGTCATTTTTTAGATGAATTTCGGATTTTAATCCGAAAAATTAGTAAATTCATATGGAATTAATTTCTACGATTTATATTGAGTATATTGAATTGTTTATGACTAGATTTGAGGATTTTGGACATGAATTCGCGAGGCAAAGGTGTATTGGATTCTTGAATTTGGTTGCAAAGCAAGGTAAGTGTCGTGGTTAACCTTGACTTGAGGGAGTAGGACTTATTTGTCTATTTGCTACGTGATTTAATGTGCGGGTACAACGTATATGTGAGGTGACGAGTACTTATGTGTTGTGGTTGAGTCAAATCATGCGGGTGGAATTTTTTTATTATAAATAATTACCTATTTAATTAAGACATTCTTGTTTAAGTTTATTATTGATTATTTGATCATTATTCGTGAAATTATTATTCATTTAATTATTGTTGAATATTTCAGAAGGTGAAGTTGGTATTCTGGTATTAAATTGAATGATAAGTGCATATCCCCGCATTTTCATGATTATGTCTTTGAATCCATCATTTAATTCGGATTTAATGGAGGAAAAATCAAGAGTTTTGTAAAATCTTCCAAAAACGAAAATTTAAGATTTGGAAGTCGAGTTGTTATTGGAATTCGATAAAATTGGTATGGTTGAACTCGTATCAGAATGGGTGTTCGGATTTCATGAAAATTAGGTCGGGTTAGAGGGGCGGGCTCCACGTTGACTTTTGTTGACTTTTTGGAATAAAATTTTAAGTTATTATCCGGAATTTTTTTCGATGAATTTTAATGAAGTTATACAATTAATTTGGATAGATTTGAGCTGTCCGGAGGCCAATTCAAGCAAGAAGGCTATTTTGAAATATCGGCCTAACTTCAAAAAAGTAAGTGTCTTGCTTAACCTCGAGTGGGGGAATTTCCCCTTAGGCATTGAGTCATATGTGCCATTTGTGAAATGTGAAAAGCCGTATACGCGAGGTGACGAGGACGTGCTCGGTCTTATACTTGCAAAATTCATTGAAATAAAGTCTTAGGCATTATTGCGTAGTAAATTAGAAAATTGTGAAAAATTATTTAATCATCTGTTTGCCATGCCTAAATCCTTATTATTGAATTTGTTTTTATATGATAATTTGATGTGATTGTTACTTGAAATATTTATGAAATTTCGTGAGTATTGTTGGTTTAATATTTCTTGGAAATTAATTCCAATATGAATCTTCTTATGCAAATAATTAATTTAAGCGAGCTTAAGAATAAGTGTTAATATAATTATCTAAATTTGCATTAATGAAGGTTTTGCTTTATGCTGAGAAATTTCTATCTCAATTGATTGTTTTTGGGTGTTATATACATTGTGTGGAGCCTTGGGCTATTTGTTGTGAAATTAATTAATTTTGTTATATCTTTGGAATTTGGTTGTGGCCATTGGGCAAATTGTGATATGAATTGATTTTATTATATTATCGTATTATTTTTTCTTGTAAATTGTTATGTTGTGTGAGTTACTATTTTAGGGAGATAAGGGTGACATTTCACCGTTGATATGGCATTTCACTGTTGTTGTGTTCGTTGGAATATTGCCTGGGTGGAGCGATAAGGGTGGCTATAAGAGCGATAAGGGTGGCACTAGGAGCGATAAGGGTGGCTATAAGAGTGATAAGGGTGGCAATAGGAGCGATAACGGTGGCTATTGTCAAGGACGATATGTGATGATGTGGGGGTTGTGGTGTTGTGATGTTGTGATTTTCTTGTATTTATTTTTATACCTTGTGCAACTTGTCTTGTTGTTGGTAAATTGATAACAATCTGTTTTATGTTGAAATTGAGAGCCTGTGGCTATTGCCAGGCGGATCATAAAATGAAATGTGGGCACGAGGTGCCGTGAGTAAATAATGAGAATATTTGGCACGTGAATTGTCCGTGCAGTTGTGATATAAAATGTGGGCACGAGGTGCTGTGATGAAATGATAATGATAATTGGCACGTGAATTGTCCATGCAGTTGTGATATGAAATGTGGGCATGAGGTGCCAGGGAAATATGATGATTTAATTATGGGCTCGAGGTGCCGTGGAAATATGAAAATGGGCTGAGACCCGTATTTTTATGATTATGAAATGAGGTGTCACATGGTGACTTTTTAATTGAAAGAATTATATTCAAAATATTTATTTGGAAGGATTTTTACTTAGAAAGTATTATAAGAAAGAATTTTATTTGAAAGATATTTATTTGAGGAAATTATATTTGAAAAGATTTATTGAAAGAATTATATTTGAAAAATAATTATTTGAGAAAATTATATTTGAAAGAGAGTTATCTGGAAGAATTATATGTGAAAGATTTTTATTTGAAGGATTTGATTTAATTGGGTGTACTTGTGTTTATTAATTATTGAGTGATATTAATGGTATTCTTGTTGTCTGCTGTGCATATCACTGGTTGTTCCATGTTGTCCTATTGTTATTTGTTTCTTATTATTTTGTATATTATATTGCTCATGTTATTAGACTAGTGAGTGTCTTGACTATACCTCGTCTCTACTCCATTGAGGTTAGTCTTGATATTTACTGGGTACCGACCATGGCGTACTCATACTACACTTCTGCACATTTTTTTGCAGAGCCAGGTATTGAAGATATTGGACTTGAGCAGAGTTAAAGCGTGATCATAAGGATTCAAGGTAGAGCTGCTTGTCCGTCGCAGTCCCTTGGAGTCTTTTCATTTCATTGTACTGTTAATTTGTAATCAAATAGTATTGTATATTCGGTCCTCATGATCATTCCATGTATTCAGTTAGAGTTCGTGACTCAGTACTACCAGTCTTGGGAGGTTGTGTATTGTAATTATTTTCGTTGTCAGATTTTAATTCAAAAAACAAATGACTTCAAAATATAATAGAAATCGGCTTACCTAGTCCAATTGGACTAAGGTGGAATCTAACACATGGGACGGATCACCATGATATTTTCGAAGCATAGACAAATGGAACACCGGATGAACCGCTGATAAACTAGGTGGTAATGCAAGCCTGTAGGCTACTTCACCCATCCTTTCAAGAATTTCAAAGGGTCCGATATACCTAAGGCTCAACTTGCCCTTCTTTCCGAACCTCATTACACCTTTCATAGGTGAAACTCGGAGCAATATTC